AAAGAGGATACTAATTTTTGGAGGCATTGGCAGGAATAAGGGAGGTAACAAGGTGTGAAAAAGAACTCAGAAACTAACATTAGTGAGGAGAAGTTACCATTCTAGATTACTACAGACTTGAGAAGAGGCTTTCTCTGTAATCCAGAGAGACTTTTATGAGAGAGAGAGAGAGAGAGAGAGAGAGAGAGAGAGAGAGAGAGAGATGCCTCAACATGTAAAATAAATATGATGATATTTATAATATATAACCCTTTGAATTTATCCCTGTCTGATTATTCAAACACTATTAAAATAACACCGTTTGTGTTTCATTTTCAGGAAAAAGAGCATGTGTTGGAGAGGGCTTGGCCCGTATGGAGCTGTTTATATTTCTGACTAGTATTTTACAGCATTTTACCTTGAAACCTCTGGTTGATCCAAAGGACATTGACATCACCCCAGTTCTCAGTGGAGTAGGCTCTGTTCCTCCCTTCTATAAACTATGTTTCATTCCAGTCTGAAGAAATTATTGACTGCCAGATTGCAGAACAATGCCTTCTCCCCTATGTGTTAGGCATTATCCACCTACTCCTTCACAGCAGAAATGACATTCCTGAACCCTGTCTCTTTTAATTTTCTATTCTCCGAGATTCAGTTCAAATTTCTTAGATAAAATAAATATGGTCTACCTCTAGTAAAGCTACTATTTTGTTATTATTTAGCAGTATTATTTATAATAGCGTTAATATCTATGCTTTTGATGTACAAAATACCAAAGACAAACTCGAGTGACACAGGTCCTCCACCTAGGATTTCCGTCACTTCTCATCAGCCCCATATCTCACCATCTCTGGTATATCCTACAACCCCGTCTATGGTATCCTCAGTTCAATGTCTTAAAGTAACCATGTAATAAATAATGTTCCTCAATAAAAATTGCAAGTGTTTGGCATCTCTTCAGAGAATATTCATTAAGTGGTAGAGTTGAGCCCTTGGCACGGATGTAGCAATGAGGTATGGATGCAACTTCAGGTATTTTGGCAGGGCAGAGGTATTCAGCTCATTTTTTTCTCTAAGGCCCTCTGGAGTTTTCAGTTACAGGGAACTGAACTGTAACTGTAACGGTGTTTCCATGAGTTTTAGATGCTTGATGTGCATCTCCTGGGAGATTAAATCAGGATTATTAGAGCAGGGCTGGTGGGTGAGTCAACCTAGTAGAATTTTTTTTCTATGACCTTGAAGAATGCCAGTGGAATTTGTTTTTATCAATTATTTTTCCTCTTGCAAGTTTTATTGAGGAACATTGTTGACTACATGGTTAATGATAGAATTTCAGGCATAAAATGCTCTAACACCACATCTGTCTTCGTGGTATAGCTTGCATACACCAATGTCCCAGCATTTTCACCCATCTATTCCCTGACATCTTGGTAAGCTCAGTTCTGTGGCCCTCTTTCAAGTTCTGTTGCCTTGGCATTTTGTTCTTTTCTCTTCTTTCTTTATATCCCACATATGATAGAAATAATTCTCTATTTGTCTGCCCCTGTCCCCAGATATTTTTTTTTACTGATTTCCCTCTAGCTCCAAAGCATTGCAGCAAATTTCATTATTTCATATTTTCTTATAGCTGACTTTTATTTAACTGTGCATATATAGCACAGTTTCTTTATCTAGTCATCTGTTCTTGAACTCTTGGATTGTTTACAAATCTTGGACATTGTGACTAGCAGTGCAATGAACAGAGGAGAACAAAAGCATTTTCAAAATAACATTTTTGGAATTTCTGGGTAACATCAAATTTTAATTCTTAATTTTTCCCATTTAAAACTTTATTTAAACACTGTGATTTACAAAGTTTTTTTTATATACAGTCATTTCAATATTCCAATACCAATCCCACCACCAATGTGACCTTCTCTCTATAAATGTGTCAAGTTACTCACCCATACCCCCTGAATGCTCCTTAGCAAGCAGAAAATAATTTACTCTGTATGGTTTGGTACACTATATATATATGTCGCGATCATGGTCCTCCCGTTGTTCATCAATTTGCTCGAGCAGGCCCAGTAACATTGTGAGACTTGTTACTGTGTTTGGCATATCAAATACATCACGGGTAGCTTGCCAGGCTTTGCCGCCGGATGAGATACTCTCAGTAGCTTGCTGGGCTCTCCGAGAGGGACGGAGGAATCGAACTCCGGTTGGCCATGTTGGCTGCGTGCAAGGCAAACGCCCTACCCGCTGTGCTATCGCCCCAGCCCAATATATATATATATATATATATTCTATAAGTTATTGTCCAAGGTTTTTTTAAGTTGTTAGGTACTAGATGAGCCTTCTGTGGTATTGTTTTTGCTCATTGAGCTTAGTGGGTCTCTCTGCATCTTTCTTATTTAATTTTCTGGGTTCCTACTGGACTGTCATCGCTGTGGACTAAGGAGATATCTTGGCCCTGCATCATCAGGTGCATGACTAGGATGATGCAGTACCGTTGCATCTTGGGCCTACCAGATTTTGCTTGCCTGATGATTCTCTCCGTGGTTGGTCATGGGGCTGGGTGCTTAAACCCAAGTGGAAGCAGGGTGGATGCTGGGGGTATTGACCAGCGTAGGGTAGTGAATCAGCCTGCCCCATCCTGAGAGCTCCATGATCAGGGCCCAGAGACCAGGACTACTGCCTTCAGCGCGGGTTGCAGCTTCTGTAGAATCAGTCGCGGTGCTGGGCCATTTAAATAGGAGCAAAAGTCAGTGGCGGTCGGCTGGTGGGGCTTTGGGTCCTCCTACAGGCAGGGACGTGGTTTGCGCTATCCCAAGAAAACTCCATTGATCTGGATAAAGAGAGCAGATTCAGCACATCTGAGGCTTGTCTCAGAGATTCGTCATGAGGCCCGCCACTTAAACGAGAGCAGAATCAGGTGTGGTTGGTGGCGCGCTGGGGCCTCCAGCTGGGCAGGACTGGACATGACACATCCAGACAAAGCTCCAGTGGGCTGGTTCAGGAGACTTCACCTAGCCCCTTCCATGTGGCTGAGGCTCTCTTTGAGATTGGTGAGGGGGTCAGGCCCTTTAAATGCTGGCAGAAGCGGATGTGTACCGGGAACAGTAAGATGCCAGCAGGGCTGTGACTCAGCCAGCCCGCTTCTGAGAAGACTCGGGTGATCTGGGTCCAGAGTCTGGGTCCGCAATTTCAGCCAGGCTACAGTTTCTACCCGAGAATGGTCTTGGGTCCATGCTATTTTTCAATTATATATTTTGAGTAATCTCCATACTTTTTCTCATAGAGAATGAACTTAATGGCATTCCTAATAGCACACGAGTGTCCCCTTTCTTCTGCACCCCTGGCAGCACTGGTTGTTTATTCTTATTGATTTGTGGGCTTTTTTGGGGGGGGGCGCAAAAGGGACAACCAGCAGGGCTCACAGCTTATTCCTGGCTCTGTGCTCAGGGATCACTATTGGTGGGGATCAGAGGGTCATATGGGGTGCGGGCGATCAAACTCCAGTTGACTTTGTGCAAGTCAAGTGCCCAATTTTCTCTCACCCCCGTTCCTACTTTTTCTGATATGTTAGTCTCACTGGTATGACGTAGTAACTCATTACTTTAATTTGTGTAACAATGGTGGGTAGAACATTTTTTCATATGCCAATTGGATATCTTTGTGCCTTCTTTGAGGACAAGTCTGTTCATCTATTCTCTCCATTTTTTAATGGAGTTATCATTTTCTTATTACTTTTTTGAATGCTTCAGGTATCTTGTACTTTAGTGCTTTATTAAGTGTGTGATGAGAAAATATTTCATTTACATTATCAAATATTTGGCATAGACTTGCTCATACTACTCTTTTTTTAAATAATTATTTTATTTTTACAAAGATGTTTGCAACATTTGATTACATTTAATATTCGAACACCAATCCCCACCATTACACCTTCCCACCATCATAATTTCCATCCCAAACCCCAAACCCTGCCCCCCAAGTAGAACCAAAATAATTTATTTTTATATTGCTTGTTATGAAACAAAAAGGGTTTCTTAGAGGAAAGTGTGTGAAGATTGTTGTATTCCACCCAGGAGCCATTAAGCCCTTCTATAAGAGATTAGTAACATATTGTTAAAGGTTGAGCCTTGTGTGCTATATGTATATATCTGCATAAATACACTTCCCCCTAAGATTGGTTGCCTTCTACTTTAAACCCCATCAAATGTGTTGTGCTACTCTTGGTATATGATATTACTCATTTTTTAATTCTTTTAATTTCAGTGAAATCAAGTGATGGTACCTTGTTAAACTTGGTATTAGACATTTGTATCTTCACTCTTCAGAGTAGCCTGGTTTTATCAATATGATTAACTTTTTAAAGAGTTTTGCTTTCATTGTTTTCATACGATATTGATTGTATGCTTGTAATTTCATTGATTTCTGCTCTTATTTTTCTTTGTAGTCTTTATGGCTTAGGTGGGCAAAATGCCTCACCATCACTCATTTCAATATCTTTTTTAGAGATATTGAATAAGGCTGCTTTTGAACAGCTTTCCCACACTTTCAAAATTGGTATCAATATCTCTCAATAATATTAAGCCCAAGGACTGTTCTATTCTCTTTCTTTTTCTCCTTCCTGTGTGAATCATTATGAAGATCAAAAGATCTTCTTTGTATTGCTTTTATTTCTGGGGGGTGGGATACCCAGCAGTGCTCAGGGCTAACTCCTCGGGGATTACTCTTGATGGTATTTTTAGGACTATATGGGATGCCTAGGATCAAAACCGGGTCCACTGCATGCAAGGCAAATGTCTTACCTGCTTATTTTCTCTTTAGCCTCTCATTTTCAATCTTCTTTTCTTATCTGAATTATGGAAAATTGGAATAAAATCTAGTTCTTGGCTCATCAAATTATAACTTTTATTTACAACATACAGGGAAAAATATATATAAATAATTTTGTATATATTAATCATCTTTCTCTATCATATTGTCTATCTAGAATTACTCAATATTAAGTAAAAATTATTATATATAGTGGCCAGAAAAAAAGTTATAGATTATTGAAATAACTGATACATGTGCATTGAGATTAAGGAAATTCTTTTTATTTATTTTATTTTATTTCATTTTATTTGCTTTTTTGAATCACACTCAGCGATACACAAGGGTTACTCCTGGCTCCGCACTCAGGAATTATTCTTGGCGGTGCTCATGGGACCACACAGGATGCTGGGAATTGAACCTGGGTTGGCCGTGTGAAGGTAAAACCCCTACCTGCTGTGCTATCACTCCAGCCCCGGAAATTCTCTTTTAATAAAGATTGGATGTTCCTGGTTTTTTTTTTTATGAAGATAGGAGAGGTAGACAGGGTAATTTCAGGAAATGGATAAAAAATGAAAGGAGGTAAACCCGCCCCCAGGTGAGCAGAAGTTATAGATAGTATCACTGTAAAAACCAAATGATCTCTATTCTTTACACAGGAATGAAGCAGAGTTTGTAGTTAGGGGGTACAGAAATAAATCCATTGGAAGTTGGGGTAGTGTCAATGTCCTTGGGATCAACTTCAGATTTCAAGGTAAAATTCTGTAAAATAGTGGTGAGAAACAAAAATAGCTCCATACGAGCCAGACTCTCTCCAGCACATGCTCTTTTCCCTGAAAATAACAAACAGAATGCAAAAATGTTTTGATTATTTTTTCTCTTGTGAGATGGAGAATATGCAATACCTGTGTGATGAATGGTTGCATAAAAGACAGAAGGTTTGAATAGATAGATGAACAAAAGGTAGACACATATGTAATACATTTACCTAAACACATATTTTCTCTTTAAGTAAATACTTACTGAGGATCAACATTATGCCAAATAATTCATTAAATAATCCTATAATTGCTATTTTGACATTTAAAACTTTGATCAGTGTTTTTCTAGAAATACACATGCATTAGTAGTAATTTCTGTTCCTACTCTGTTATTCCATAACTTCCATTCTTCATAACCTCTCATTTCTGCTATTACTTCCTTTATCAAAATTCAATAAACCAAGAAGTTTAGATATTTTACTACACTGTTGTTTTTGGTATACCCTTTATTCATATTTTTTAGTTCCTAGATCAAATTGTGTTTCTAACCTTCTAAAAAACTGGATGAAATACCCAAAGTTCCAGTGATCGGGATCAATAATTGTTATAAAAAGAAAATTGTGTGGATACTAAGATTGATGTTTTTACTAAAAGACAGCGATTCTATGAACTCAATTCTATCAACTCAGCTATCACTTGTGAGCATTCAAGTGTCCAAGAATAGATGACTGGATAAAGAAATTGTGGTACATATGCACATATACTACTCAGCCATAAGAAAAAGATAAAGAAAATTTGCTGCTGCTACATGGAGGAACCTGGAAAGTATCATGTTAAGTGAAGTTAGTCAGAGAGACACACACACACGCACTAATCTCTTTCATATGCAGGATATAAAGAACCATAATGGTGGAACAACAAATGCCTAAAGACAATAGAAACGAAGAACATGAGAACTGGTTTTCAGTAGAAAACATGCCACTTGGGAATGTTGCTAGGGGATAGGACAGGGTGGGGCAAAATATCTATAGTGGAGAGAAGTGTTCAAGCAAGAGGAGGAGATGGTGCTGAAGGGTGGTAAAGTTTTTTGGATGAAACTCTATCAGCAACAGTACTGTAAATCACAGTGCAAAAACTTACATATAGTTTTTTTGAAAGCACCTCTGGTAGAAACAGACTGATGGATGGGAGCCAAATGGGATTCAGGGTGGGTAGAAATGAGAGAGGGAACTGGACACTGATGAAGGAATTCGTGTTGAAACATTGTGTATCTGAAACCCAACCATAAATAACTTTTGTTTGTGGGCCACACCTGGCAATGCTCAGGGATTGCTCCTGGCTCTGCACTCAGGAATCACCCCTGGCAGTGCTCAGGGTACATAACCATGTGGGATGCTGGGAGTCAATCCCGGGTTGGTTGTGCACAAGGCAAAGGCCCTATCTGCTGTACTATTGCTCCAACCACCCACCAATCATGAATAACTTTTGTAATTTCACAATGAATAAATTTGAAAAAATAGAATGGGTACTACATGAGTTTTTACTAATTCTCAAAATGTACCTTGTCCTATAAGTACAAATAAATTAAACACTTATTACCTGCTGAGAAAGCCATGAAATGGTCACTTTTCTTAAAGTTGCCACTCTTATCCAGAAAGTGACCAGGGTCAAACACCTTTGGTTTGGGAAATTCTTTGTCATCATGCAGGACTGAAGTCAATGATGTTAATATGATTGTGCCCTGAAATAAATATAAAACTGAGTTATGAAGAAGTTGTGAAGCTGGAAGAAATACTCAAAATAATTCAATCCAATCTTGTCACTGTCACTGTCCTCCCGTTGTTCATAGATTTGCTCGAGTGGGCCCAGTAACGTCTCCATTGGAGACTTTGTTGTTACTGTGATGTATTTGATATGCCAATCACAGTAACAACAGTAATCCAATCTTATAGATTTTTTTTTAAAAACCTGGTTCCAAGAAATGTCAGTGTATCATAGTCAGATAAAATGAAAAATAAAGAGCTATAGTATAAAACTAGTGGTGGTGATGTTAATAACGAGGGCTTCAATAGCATTTAACTACTGAACCTTGGCATCTACAATACCAAACCTCTGAATCCATCCTACTTATTTGGACACTGATACCTTATACTATCAGATGGATGATCTTGTTTCTATTTTCACTAATTTCTAACATGGGTCATAGATAAAATGGAAATATGTATGAAACTTGGAGAGCCCGGCAAGCTACCGAGAGTATCTCGCCCGCACGGTAGAGCCTGGCAAGCTCCCTGTGACGTATTCAATATGTCAAACACAGTAACAACAAAGTCTCCAATGGAGACGTTACTGGGCTCGCTCGAGCAAATCGACGATCAACGGAAGGGCCTTTACCTTACCTTACCTTATTGAATGGGTAAATTATTCACATATTAAATATGACACAGGGCAAATATTGAAGATATTTAAGGAGTACACAAAACTGCAATAAAATTAACAGACAACCCCATCAGAAATGTAGAGAGGAGGCAAACAATGAAGAGATAAAGACGTCCTTCAGGCACATGTGAAAGATGATTATTATTAGTAATTATTAAACAAAACTGTCAATGAGGTCCGGAGTGATAGTACACTGGGTAGGCCGTTTGCCTTGCATGTGGCGACCTAAGTTCAATTCCCGGCATCCTATATGGTTCCCCAAGCACTGCCAGGAGTAATTCCTGAGTGCAGAGCCAGGAGTAACCCCTGTGCATTGCCAGGTGTGACCCAAAAAGAAAAATAAAACATCAATGAGCTAGCACCTCACACAGTGAGAATGATACATATCAAAATGACCAGAAACAATGAGAGACAGCAGGGAAGTGTTGAAACAGAAACCTTCATTCAGTGTTGGTAGGAATGTAAACTGGTTCAACTACTATGGAAAACAGTATGAAGACCTCAAAAATTAAAAAAATAGAACACCGCATGATACAGAAATTGTGCTTCAAGCATCTGTTCCAAGAACACAAAAACACTTACTTGAAAAGATATATGCACACCTATGTTCATTGAAGCATGATTTACAATAGCCAAGATCTGGAAACAACTTAGGTGTTCAATGACAGATGAGGGAATAAAGATGTGGAACACCTACACAATGGAACACCTACTGAACCAGGAGAGAAGACAAACTCTTGCCTGTTAGTTTAAACTGAATGGAACTGGAGGATGTCATGCTAAGTGAAATTACTCAGAAAGTGAAAGACAAATACTGGGTGACCTCATTAATATGTGGTAAAGTAAGAAGGTAAGGGAATAGATTATTTAGGATGAAAATATTCCTAGGCATCCATGTTTACCTCCCACAACTGACTGCCATGTTGACTTACCCACAGGTTCTGTTCTACCAATTCATGACTAAATCTTCAAGGAGATGAAAGCCAAACAGCTAAAATTTATGGACACACAGGTACCCTGGGGCTGGAGTGATAGCACAGCAGGTAGGGTGTTTGCCTTGCATGCGGCCGACCTGGGTTCGATTTCTTCGTCCCTCTCAAGAGCCTGGCAAACTACGAAGAGTATACCGCACACATGGCAGAGCCTGGCAAGTTTTCTGTGGCGTATTCAATATTCCAGAAACAGTAACAACAAGTCTCACATTGGAGATGTTACTGGTGCCCACTTGAGCAAACCGATGAACAACGGGATGTCAGTGCTACAGTGCTACAGGTATCCTGGGCTGAAAATTCTAGGATATCATGGGGTGTAGGGGCAGGCCGTGTACTCTGCTGAAGACACAGCAGCTGTACCCATACCCTACTGCTGGAGCCATGCCAAGGGTTAAACTCCACCACTTTACTAATATTCTCTGCACTAATTAGTTCTATTTATTTAATTGCTTTAGTTAAATAAATTAATTAATTTAAGGGCTGGAACGATAGCACAGCAGTAGGGCATTTACCTTGTACGTGTCCAGCCTGGCTGACCTGGGTTCAATTCATCCATCCCTCTCAGAGAGCTCAGCAAGCTACCGAGAGTATCTCGCCCACAGTGCAAAGCCTGGCAAGCTACCTGTGATGTATTCAATATGCCAAACACAGTAACAACTAGTCTCACAATGGAGACGTTATCAGGCTTGCTCAAAGAAATAGATGAACAATGGGAGGACAGTGCCACAGTGCTACAATTATTTTAATTAATGATTTATTTAATTAATTATAATATATAATATAATTCTATTATATTATTATATTTTGCACTCTTATATTTTTAGATGATTGGTTATATAATGTGAAAGAAATACCTTTGTAATAGAACCACTGAGATCAGAATAACAACAATAAAAAAATCTTACCTTGGGGATAAAGTAATTTCTGAATTTAACATCACGGGTCACAGCATGAGGCAAATTGTTGGGAAGGAGGTCAATGAATCTCTGGACCTCGTGCACCAAGGCATCCATGTAAGGCATGTTGCTCTTGTCCTGCATACAGGGCCTCCGTTGTTTACCAATCACACGCTCAATCTCCTCTTGGGCTTTAGCTGATGAGAGGCAAGTAAGACTCATTGAAAAAGAGAACAATAAGTACCACATGTGTATATCATTAGAGGGATATGCAAAGTATCATGTAAGTCCTAGCATCTTTATAGGCATCAGCTACATTTCAGAATTTACTAATGCATATAACTCACATATAAGATACATCTCTCCACACCCATATGTTAGCACATGTGATAATAAAAAAATAATGCCTCAAAATGTGAATAAAATTAAGAAATTTTAGCCTCTTTCTTTTAAAAGAAAAGTAGGAAGTAATAATTATATATGTAATAATTATCAGTTAAAAATTAAATTCAGGGGCTGGAGTGCAGTAGGTAAGGCATTTGTCTTGCATGTGGCCAACCTGGGTTTGATCCCTGACACTCTATATGGTCCCCCAAGATTGCCGGGAGTGATCCCTGAGAGTAAGGAGTAAACTCTGAGCACTGCCGAGTGTGGTCCACAAAAAAATTAAATTACAATGACTTTAAATGTGGTGTTGCAGTATAATTGTGTATTGTTAGTATGTTCAATTTTCAAGAGTACTACTTTCATCTTGCAACTTGCCAACTGCTTCAAATGTTGAAACTTAAGTTTCTTCTGAAATTTATTCTCCATTTCTAAATAAAACTCCATTTCTATTTCTTACCTGTTTTTAGACTATCTGGTCTCATTTACTATTTCTAGCCCCATCTCACACAGAAGATATAGTTCATGTAGAAATGCAAACACGCACAATTATACACATATAGTTGTCCTTATATCATTCCTCTAATATACTTAGACCACAATTTTGGCTATTAGAATATTCCTTTTAACATAGTTCTGACTAGATAAACCAAGTGTCCTGGTAAGACAACTATGATTATGCAAAATGTGTGTTATTTTATTCCACTTAATAATGTATCTTCATTTCAGTTCATGGTTTTAAAGAATATTTTGATGTACAATTATTCTCAAATCCTGAGATAGCTTTTTGCAACTCTGAATTAAAATAAATATTATATTAATAATGGATAATAATAGGAAACCTGTGCTAATCGAGCACTTCTCTTATTCTTTGTGTCTCCTCTGTTAACTGTTTGTCCAGCTATTCTATTTTGAATTTTCTACTATCCTGCCTGGTATCTTGTAACTTCCTGACTCTTTCATTCTTCACAAGCTCCCCAGATTCTTGATGTTCATTATTTCTCCTGACATAATCTCAGACATTGAGAGGAAAAAAAAAGTGAGTGTAGGGATGTGGGGGAATTTTTTCAAACATATAAGTCTGGGTATACTTTCCTTTCACTAACATACAATTAGATAGTTGCTGTTAAGAAGTCTAATAATGGGACCCAAGTGTTAGTACAGCTGGTAGGGCTTTTGCATTGCATGTCACTGACTCAGGTTCAATGCCCAGCATCCCATATGTCCCCTCATCCCCTCCAGGAATAATTCCTGAATGCAGAGCCAAAGTAATCCCTAAGTATTGCTGAGTATGACCCAAAATACACACACACACACACACACACACACACACACAATTCTAATGCTGTAATGCAGTCCCAAATCCTCATCTACTTTATAGAACCTAATGAATCTCGCTGCAATACTCTTAATCTCTCCTCAATACTGCTGTGAAATTCTTTAAACCTATGTGTGTGTTTGTGCATGTGCGGGTCGAGCAGTGTATGTTTTATATTTCATACACTGTAATGACAACCAAGTACCTATCTAATTTGAAAATAGGAAAGTCTTCTCCACAACAATTAACTATCTATTTTTATTTCTTTTAAAAAATCAGTTCATTATATTTCAGGAGGCAGAGGAGTAGTTGAGTGTCTCTGAAGTCTCTGAATTCAATAATTGAATTCTTATTTTTCTTTTCAGTTGTACACGTCACACTTTTCCTGTGCCTGTGTGTCTAGCCCCTTAGATTCAGGTTCTCCAGAGAGAAAATGTCCCTCACCCTACTGCGGGAAAGCATTAAAGAAGTTGTGGAGGGAAGACAGCATCAGCCTATTCCTTTATTTTCACTGATACTAAGTTTCAACTACTGAAATTTACAATTATAGGGACACAAAAGATTTTCCTCAATATTACTTCCTTTTCTGACATTAGACTACATGCTATTTTTTTTCTTTTCCTTTTTTTTGGGGGGGGAGTCACACCCAGCAAAGCACTGGGGTTACTCCTGGCTCTGCACTCAGGAATTACCTCTGGCGGTGCTCAGGGGACCATATGGGATGCTAGGAATAGAACCTGGGTCGATCGTCTGCAAGGCAAATGCCCTACCAGCTGTGCTATTGCGCTCCAGCCCCTAGACTACAGTCTTACTGCCTTATTTTATCAACGTAGTACCTTATTGCTAGATATATTTTATGTTTCAGAAACCTGCTAAAAGTTCACTATTTTTTTAAAACTCTTTCCACAGTTCCTTAACTTTAGTCATTTTTATCAATGTACCAGGATGTAGAATACTGTTAATTATATTTTTAATGCATACATCATTTCAACACCACAACCATCACCAGAGAGATCACTTCCCTCCAGTGTCCCAAGGCCTCCTCCTACTACCCCTTCCCACATAACCTCATAGGAAAAATCTCCTGTTATGATGTCTGACCATTTGTTGTTCCCTTACTGTGTTTCTTTTTTTTTAATCTAACATATGAGAGATCTTTTTAAAAAACTTATTGTGGATTTGGTAACACCTATCTACATATACATCACCTAGATCATCTGGGTGAGTAACGCTAAGTTCCTGAAATTCCACAAAAATGTAAATCAATGGTAAGTTGTTAAAACAAACCTGAAGATTATTATATTTATTGTTAATATAACCTTTAACAATACTTTCCTTTCTGTGGAAATGATTTAAGAAACATTCAATAGATTTCTAAAATTTCCTTTTTAAAAAATTTTTTCTAGCTGTGATTTAAGATGGATAATTTATATTTTCTATTCCCTGACATCTGAACAGTGCATTATCAGTACAGGAGAGATCTGTACTGATACATGTACAGATACATGTACTGTTCAGACTAATTTTTTTTTCTTTTTGGGTCACATCTGGCTATGCACAAGGGTTACTCCTGGCTCATGCACTCAGAATCACTCCTCCTGGTGCTCAGGGGACCATATGGGATGCTGAGAATCAAACCTGGGTCATCCACGTGCAAGGCAAACACTCTACCTTCTGTTCTATCACTCTATCCTTTCAGGCTAATTTTTTTCATATGAAAACAAATATGTAGTTCTTGCCAATTCAAGATGGACATCCTATCACAGATAACCGTCCATGAAATCCAATCACTGGTTTCCATTTTTTTTGTTGTTGCTGTTTGCTGCCTACAATGATTTAATTTGTCCCAATAATGTTCTCATATTAATCAAAGATTCCCATTATTTTCTCTTTATTACATTTGAGAAGATTAAGCAAGTAGTCAGACAATTGAATAATGAAGTTTTTCTGAGAAAAACAAGACTCTGTGTGCCTTTGCTGTGTCTATCAAGGTGTTTTTGAAACTCTCCCAGTCTACCATGCTGGTGATACCTGTGACATCTGGGTGCTTTAGCAGCAGAAGCAATGCATATTTCAGTGTGGTGCTTGTTGTCTCTGTCCCAGCTCCAAATAGATCAAGTATAGCAATCACCAAATTTTCTAAAGTAAATATCAGCTCTTGACTCTGTTTTTCCTAAAAAGATTTTGATAAAATTATTTGAGAAATAACTTTCCAGAATTATAGCTGAGGCAATATAAATCACATTATAAAATTAAGTAACATGCGATTCCAGTTATATTTTAGAAAATATTACCTTATGGTATGATAAAACATTGTAAATCAGATGATTAGAAGGTCATTTTCCAGTATCTAATCCCTTGCTCACCTAGAAGTTCTGATTATTAGATTTTTTTCACAATTAGATGTGTCATGCAACATCTTCTTTATCAGTGAGAAATAAGGGGAGACTGAGTGTGTTATTTTCTCTATTTCTTCTTCTTATCCCAAACTAAGATAGAAGAGAATAGTAGATACCATCTTGGGTGAGAGGAGTCAATCATTAATTAAGTTTTATTATAAAATACTCTGTGTGGATGAAGAATAGTGGAAGACATTTGATTCTGATATTCCAGGGTCACTCTCAGTGAAAAATTTATATGAATTTAATATTGTGAGTACTTTGAAATTTTATGGTAGCTAATATAGCAGCTCAACCTTAAATATATTCTAGCAAAACAATAGATTCACAAAGACAATATAGTATCATAAAATATTGTATATCACATTCAGTGAATTAGGCATTTTGGTCTAGGAAACAAATTTAAGAATAAATATAGATTTACAACATACTGCAAAAAGTCCCAAGAGTGATTCTTGAGTACAGAATCAGGAGTAAACCCCTGAACTCCACTGGATGTGGCCCAAAAACAAAGAAGATAAAAAGAACTGAGATAAAGATGTGACATGTGGAAAGTATCATTAACATACAAAAGAGTATGTACTTGCAAACATATCCCCCGGCTTGCATTAATTTTATTATGCTCATGTAATTGTCAGTGAGCAAATGTATGTTAAATATTATGTATAAACACAATAAAGCAGAGTAAGTCCTCTGAATGTTTGAAATTTCTGGATAATCATGTCCTTGTTATAATTGGCTTTATATAGTACTTAAATTTCTCAGTTCAAAATAACTCTAATCATCATGAACAACTCTGTAAACTACAGTGTTTATATAAAGGGGAAAATAAAAATTTAAAATTAAAAGAAAACTAATATCTGTGAAAAAGAGCAGTATACTCACAAAACATTATTTTCATTCCCTGAATTAAGTTTGTGATGCAGTAGGTATGTACACATGGTCTATCATTATTAAACTGGGCAAAACAATGTTAACATAAATTACATGAAATAATGCTGAAAGAAATCAAAGAAGATCTAAATAATCAGAAAGACTTCCCTTGAAGATCTGGGAACTCTATGTTGTTATAATGACATTACTGGTGTAAACTCACAAACATGGCAGAGACGAAGTTCCCACAAATCAGTTCTTACACTGAAACAACTATTAACCATGCACAAACTTTCTAAATGATCTCTTGAATCTGATGATGTTTTGGTCAGTTGAGGTACACAATGCAGTGCTTAAATCAGTGTCTTGCACGTTTGACATATAGTGACCTATATTCTTATTTTCTTCTAAGGCAGACAATTCTTGAGAGTATGAATGGTATTTCTACAACAGATAAAGGTTCCAAAGTGGCAAAAGGATAGAATCTTCTGCACTGGAGTTGTGCTCTGATCTCTGAGGGTGGCACCAAGAGTAGCTATGGTTTCAGTCCCGATAGCCTTAAGAAACTTTTTTTCTTCACTGACTTTCACCAAGGATACAAACAGAAAGGCACCTTTTACTTTGCTTTGTTTTTTTAAAATCTATTCATTTAAGGGCAACTCTCTGAAAGGGCACTGATCACAGAGATAATCAGAGATTTAAGTATCTACACAAGTGAGAAAAAAAACTATTGGCAAAAATGATACAGAAAATTCCTAAACAAATGTTTAGTAAGTAACAGTGTAATTCCAAAAAAGAAAATTCTTATTTGTCGTGGTACCTTATTACAATAATATTTAAATAATCTATTACCAACGGATAGCACAGTGGGTAGGGTGTTTGCTTTGCATGTGGCCAACCCGAGTTGGATTCCTCTCTCCCTCTCGGAGAGCCCGGAAAGCTACCGAGAGTATCCCGCTCGAATAGCAGAGCCTGGCAAGCTCCCCGTGGCGTATTTGGTATGCCAAAAACAGTAACAAGTCTCACAATAAAGACGTTACTGGTGCCCACTTGAGCAAATTGATGAAAAACCGGAGTTCAGTGCTACAGTGCTATTCCCAACAGAAAAAAAAAGCATATATTTTTTTAAAGACAGAAGTGTACGACCCATTCATAGTTGAAAATTTAAATTGACATGAAATTATTGAGTAATCCCAGAAATTAAATTTACAAGATAATACTTTAAATGTCTTAAATATGCTCAATAGGAATACAAATAAGAATATAAGTGTTTTAAATTTACTGTCTTAAATATAAAAAGCTAGAGATAACCATAAAACTGCATAAAAAAGCTGAGAATTGATAATAAAAAATAAGCTAATAGTTTCAGATACTAAAAAGTACAATATCATAAACAGACAACCAGGATTATAAGGATAATAGAGCAGGTAGGGTGCTTGCCTTGACTGCTCTTAACCTGGGTTGGATCTTCAGCATTTTATATGGCTCACTGAGCACCTCCAGGAATGATTCCTGAATATAGAGGAGTAAGCCCTGAGCTAAAGTTATATGTGGTCTAAACACCACCCTCCCTTTAAAAAAATCCAGAAATAGACAAACATAAAGAGTATGCTATAGTGTCCAAAAGCAGAGAGAGAGAGTATGGGGGAAATTGTCTGCCATAGAGGCAGGGGGTGGGGTGAGATAGGGAGGTGCATACTGGGGACATTGGTGGTGGAAAATGTGAGCTGGTGGAGGGATGGGTGTTCAATCATTGTAAGACTGAAACTCAAACATGAAAGCTTTGTAACTGTATTTCACGGTGATTTAATAATTTTTTTAAAAAAAGATTATAATAAATCTAACTAGAAATAACTAATGAATATAATAAAGTGATAGGCTACAAAACAATATATTAAAGTCTTATAGTGTTAAAATGTCCATCTTACCTAATACAGTTTACAGATTCAGCATAATACCCATCAAATTCCTAACAACATTTTAAGGAAGTAGAACAAGTAACATTTGTATGTAATATTTACCATTTGGTGACATTTATGTGAAACCACAAATACTGTGGACAAAAGAATCCTAAGGAGGATAGTATGAAGCTATTGTATGACACTAACTCAAACTATATTACAAAGAATCATTAATAATAAAAATTAAGATATTGAACAAAAGTAGACATAAGATATGGAATATAATTGTGAGTCTGAAAATAAGCACCAGTACATATGGACAGTTAATTTATAACAAAAGAGTAAGACCATACATTGAAGAAGGAAGTTTTTTGAATAAACAGTGTTGGGACAGTTGTATAGCCACAGGGGAAAATGATAAATGAAAATAGATCATTATTTAACACCTTGTGCAAAACTATGAAAATAACTCAAAGGCGCCAGATAATCTTGTCATCGGCCACAATTCAGTGTTGTATGTCCTTCTCTCCTGGAAGGGAGCAGGGAACACCAAATAAAGGGTATTTGGAGGACCAGTTCGGGTTGGGAGATGAGAGCTGAATGTAGACTATAGATCCAACAGAATGGCCACACAATGCTTTTAGTGCAAACTACAACACCCAAGGGCTGGATGACAGCACAGCGGTAGGGCCTCTGCCTTGCGCAAGGCCAGCCCAGCTGAGCTGTGTTTGATTCCTCTACCCCTCTCAGATCCGGCAAGCTACCAAGAGTATCTCACTCGCATGGTAAAGCTTGGCAAGCTACCTGTGACTTATTCAATATGCCAAACATAGTAACAACAGGTCTCACAATGGAGATGTTACTGGGCCCACTCGAGAAAATCGATGAACAACTGGAAGATAGTGTTGCAGTGCTACAACACTCAAATGGAAAGAGAGAACAAAAGGGAATGCCCTGCCTCAGAGGCGGAGTGGGGTGGGGGATGGGATGGGGGTGGTAGGAGGGATCTTGGGATCATTGGTGGTGGAGAATGGGCACAGGTAGAGGGATGAGTACTTGATCATTGTATGACTGAAACACAAGCACGAAAGTTTGTAAGTCTGTAACTGTACGCCACGGTGATTTCACTAATAAAATATTAAAAAAAACTGAAGACAGACATAACAAGCAAAACAAAAAAAAAATAATAATACGACACTCACCATAACCATGCTACCAGACCCTGCACCAGGCTGTTTCATTTGGGGCGCCCTGGAGGGGGATGGGTGAGACACCACCCCATCCCAAAGGACCCAGCCCTGGCAGCCTAAAACCTCCAGAACTCAACCGCTGCCATGCTCACGGCTGCTCTCCACATGCTTGGGCCGAGCCTCATCCAGTAACATCTCCATTCGTCCCTGTCTGCTAGCTCCAGTAGCAGGAAGTGAGACTTGTTATTGTTTTTGACATAACGAATACGCCATGGGTAGCTTGCCAGGCTCTGTGTGGTTTATATACTAAATAAAATACTACTTAGCTATTAAAAATGATGAAATCTGTTGTTTTGGGCATGATAAAATCTTCCTGTAGATATGCAAAGTAAAACAAGACAGAAAGTGAAATATAAATGCTGGATGCTTTTATTCACATCTGTAATATAAATAAAGTAACAAACTAACAAAATATCCACACAAAAATAACTCTTAGGGACCAGAACAATAGTACAGTGGGTAGGGCTGTACTATTTCCACTCTGGAGAAGCCTCTGTTCTCCCTTAAACACATTTCCCCTTTTTTTCTTCTCTCACAACTTTAAAAGTAAGTTTTATTTAATAAAAATTATCTTGCTTCAAAAAAAAAGTTGACAACTTTATTCTAAAATGCATGTGGAAATTCAGTGGATCCAGAATAATAACCAAGATAAAAATCTTGAAAAATAGCAAAGGGAAGATTTACAGTTCAATTTCAAATTGCTAAAAGCTAGTAATTAAGACTAGTAGTTGAGGTTCAAAATATCATTTCTTAGATTTACATCAACTGATTTTTGACTAGGAACTATAATTGTTTGCTCATGTGGAAAAATCCATCTTTTCAACAGATGTTTTCAAATAACCCTCCTCCTCCATATCATGTTTTCAAACACAACCCTCCTCTTCCATATCAAATTATTATTATTATTATCATTATTATTATTATTATTTTTGCTTTTTGGGTCAGACCCAGAAATGCACAGGAGTTACTCCTGGTTCTTCACTCAGGAATTACTCTAGGAGGTACTCAGGGGACAATATGGGATGCTGGGAGTCGAACCCGGATCAGCCAGGTGCAAGGCAAACACTCTACCCACTGTGCTATTGCTCCAGTCCCCTATATCAAATTCTTTCTATCGTATATTCATGTTTTTCTTATTTCTATCTACATTATCCAAGCATAGAGCTCTGTGTGTTATATGCATTATTGACATATCTGAAATTCCTTCTCCTGTCTTTCCTGAAAATATTTTAGATTTATCTGCAATCACCAGCTGTAGAAGAAGGCCATTATTCTGAGCCCCCTTTACCTTCCCTTAGACATTGTATATAATAATTATGTGTATCTTCATATTATAATGTGAAATTCTGCAATTTCCAATTTTTCTGTAATTGTATTTATTTTACTTGAATATCATTTTCTCACTTCTTGAGTTAATTATCAGTTACCATAGAACAGGACAAAATATTCTACTCATTTTTAACAATTTAATTTGCATCTTCCTTAATGATTAGTATAGAATCATGCATATAACACACAATAAAAGCTCTTGACAGCATTATTTGTATAATTATTGAGACATCTCTGATAAATGCAGAACTATTCAACAAACCACAATGTGTCAAAATTGTACTAACAATCAAGTAATTGAACTTCTACTAACATCTTACCTGCTCCATTTTGACGAGGAAACAATCAATAAAGTCTCGAGGATTATCAATGTCCAAAGATGCTTGATGTTCCACCATTTTCTCCATAAAATAACTTTTAAAATAAGAAATATTGTGATTTAATTTGTTATAAATCCCTGGATAATAATCAAGGAGAATCGGAAAAGAATTGCAGAGCTAGAAGAGAAAACAAGTTTATTAAATAGTGAACATTTAAATATCTACATATAAACACAAAGCCTGGTTAGGAATTGCATTATAAATTTAAATAAAAGAGTCTTTGTCTTGAGAGAAAATATTTATTTTTTGAATAGCTGCTATTTTTATGCGATAGATGATTTGGTAGAAAACATTTTTAACCAGGTTACCAATCTGATAATCATGCCTCTCATTCATAGGTAATGTTTATGGAATTCAAGAATCCTTATCAATTCTCTCATGTATCTTTCACAGATTCTTAAATATTGAAACGACTAGAGTTCATGTTTTGTGGGTTTGAGACAACACTCAAGAAATACACTGGAGGTTACCCCTACCTCTGTGCTCAGGAGGTAGATTTACATATTTTATTTTACTTTTGTTTTGGGGGCCACATGCTGTAATACTCCTGGCTTATTCCTGGTTCTGTGCTCAGGGATCACTCTTAGCAAGACTGGAAAATCATATGTGGTGCCGGATAACGACCTAGATCAGTGGTTTGGAAGGCAAACATCTTACCTCCTGTACTGTCTCTGCACATCCACAAATGAACACATATTAAATGACACCAAAGAAAAAAGGAAGTTTGGGCAGTGAAAAAAATCCTGCTGTTTCTACTAGCTTCAGATACAAAATTAGTGTTTTAGAAATGCAAATGTCTTTAAGATACTGTGAAATATCTCAACACAAGATACTATCTAAATAATCTACATATATAGAAACTGTGCAATAGAATAGTGAGATTTCTTTGAAATAACATCACTATCTTTGAGGCAGAGTACAGATACATCAGCTCAATACAGAGTGAGACCATGATTTTCCTTGCCACCCCTTCAAAAAAAACCCCAATTATTTTGTTAGTTAGAAGGTCACTTGAAGCTTAACACATCGCTATAATAGAACTCCCTGAAAGAATATCGTCCTCTTCCCCAAATACAGATATTTTTGCATCTGATGTGATGAAAGTGTTATTCAGTGTTGAAAAACAATATTTGTAGGTAACAGAACTCTTTTAATGAGTGTAAAAGAATATTTAATGCAATGAACATGTTTTGGGGAAGTTACCAAAGTAACTTTATAGGTTTGAACTTTAGTGAGAAAAGCACGGGACAAACTCAAGAGTATTTATTTATTTATTTATTTATTTATTTATTTTGCTTTTTGGGTCACACCAGGCGATGCTCAGGTGTTACTCCTGGTTTTGTACTCATGAATAACTCCTGGCGATGCTCAGGGGATCATATGGGATGCTGGGACTCGAACCTGGGTCGGCCTTGTGCAAGGCAAATGCCCTACCCCCTGTGCTATTGCTCCAGCCCCACTCAAGAGTATTTAATTCCAGTTCTTCATTCTGAAAATACTCTGAGCATTTTTTGCCAATATTTTCAGGGACAAGGCCATATCATGAGATTGATGCTCTGCCTACTGTGCTAAGAGGACTGCTGGGGCAAGGCCATATTTCACAGATGAGCAATCGAAAGCTAAGCTCTGCAGGGCTGTGGTGTTCACACATTTGCTTCTCAGCTTAGTATATGTAGAGGTTTGCAATCTTGGAGAAAAGAACAAAATAATTCCTAAGTAAAAGTGAATAAATAAATAAATAAAAGTGAATGGATTCTCACCTGAATCCATGGAGAGCTAAAAATTTCACTATTTTCATTCAACTTTTTCATCAAGTTTAAAAAATCTTGATCTCTATAATCAAAGCGATTCTGTAAAATAATGGAGCAGATCACATTGCATGGAGCACATCCCAGGATAAAGGTGGGGTCACAAGGTGAAGCTAAAGATCAGAGAATATTTTAAAATACAATTAAAATATGCACATGAAATACTGTTTTTTAGATGACAAGTAAATAAAAAAAAACCTTCAAAATAAAATATTCCCTAAAAATTCCCTTAATAAGAAAATACCAACATGTATAAAACTGAGATCACTTCTACATTAAATCAGTGTAAACTATTTTGACCCAGGTAGCTAAATAATGTTCTATGAAATAAATGAAAATTTTATTTTATAACATCTGACAGTAAAATATAAACATTAACAGAAAACAATTAAAATATTTAATTTATTACCATTGCCATGTTTTACCCATTCACAAAAGTGCCTCAATTAATTGGACATTACTAGGCATACAACAAAATAATATGATGTTAGACTGATTAGGTTGGGGAGATTAGCAAGGTCTGTTTCTGCAAATTCTTCTCTGTTTCTCTTTATCTCTGCATGGTACAACAAACTTCTGTTTACCAAATATTTACTTTTCTCTTCTTTCTATACATTTTCTATTTTTTTGAGGTTTAAAACTATCTTCTTTTCCCCATCTCATATAATTTCTCATTGCCTAACTATTGTGAGTCTCCTGTTTCTATGTTGCTGGATGTCTGTAATTAAATGTAATTTTTTCCTGTTAATCTTCTTTATGCCAATGTCATTAGTAGACAAACCAAAAGAATGTAGAGGATAGAAAGATATATTTCTCTTTCCCACACTAGAGAAATCACAAAGATAGAGTAAAGTTTAGTAAACTGAAAACAAAGCCAACGTCCACTTAGACAAGCCGGTTAAACAGTTACTGACAAAGGTTAAAGTTTTATAACTTTGTGTGTATATATTATTGAATTATGAAGCAGAGCATATTTAAGCACAGAGGGCATTGATAATAAAGAGTAATTAATGCTGATATATTTTGAATAGGCTGTCTTTGCACAAAACTACTGGTAATGAGAATTGCACAATTAATATTTTAACTTGGTATTATTATTGGCCCAAATTGTAGACGTGATCTCTGCGTTAACTCTGAGACATGTCTGTGAGACTGATTATATAAATTAGTCCAACTAAGGAAAATATTTGTCTCTTGTATCTTAAGATCATTCCTACCTTGTGTACTTGACAAGCATTCACTGGTAAAACGTTCAAAAATTATAGTAACATTTCCTAACTCTTTCATTTAATGACTCAAAACTATTCTCTGTGATTTATGGTCTAAAAACTTAATTCAGGACGTTCCACAGCCACCACTATATTTAATACCCCTGTTCGACTGATTCCCAACTAAATCTCCCAGGAGATATACACCAAGAAGCTAAAACACCAATCCTCATAGTTGAAAACTCTGGGTCTGCCCTTGGGAGGTGGGCGGGTCGAGTACCTGCGATGCTGAAGCTCCAGTAGAAGCATTCACATCCCAGTGTTGCAGCCATGGCAAGGGTTCAACTCTATTACTTCATTAATCCTCTCTACAAAGGTGCCAAACTGTGAATAATGTAGTCTCTCCCCACCTCCCAACTTCCAAAAGCCCCTAAAGACACGTCCACATCACAAAGATTCTGTCTTGTCAGCTTATTGACACAGACCATTGATTCTGAATCAAGCAGTCTCTGGACCAAGCAGCCTCCTACACCTCCTAATACTTCAATACTGAAGTTCCAGTAGGAGCACACCGAATTAGATGGAAAAATCATATAGAAGCTGACTAAACTCAACAAACAAAAACAATAACACAGTAGGCTCCATTAACAACAATGAGCCTAGTAAATCTTTAGACAAGGACTTAAAAACCCCATGATGGGATATAACAATTTTCAAATATGATTCTTTTATGCTTATTGATTTTAATGTTAGGACTTTGTTAGATAGTCTATTTAAACTCTAGAATTGTATGAACAGTTGTGGCATTTGTCTACTTTAAAATAATTTAAAAAATTAAAATAAAATTGAATTGAGTAGAGAACTGAATAACATTTCATATGTCATACCCACACTGTGTATACGACAATAGGTGTATACACAGTGAGACATAGGTGCACACATGTTTCAGTCTCAATTGACTCTCTGCTTCAGATTCCCCTCCTTAGAAGGTCTGAGGGATAGTGCAGCAGGGAAGGTGTTTGCATTGCACGTGGACACATCAGGAGTGATCTCTGAGCACAGAATCTAGAGTAAGTCCTGAAACAATACTGAATGTGGCCCCCAAGCAAACAAATAAACAAACGAGGTTATTCTTTCCACAGAGGACCGACAGCTTCTACCCCTAAAAGTAGTTAGCAGAACCTGAGACCTTTCCAAGGGCAGAGGTAAAGCAGAAAACGCCCTCCAGGCCCAATTAGAGCACACATATCATCCCACCATTGGTTTTTTTCAACTCCTCCACGAGGCAGTGGGCTTCCTCTTGAACTCGCTCCTCAATGCTCTTCTTCCCCATCCCAAAATTCCGTAGGGTCATGAGAGAGAAGCGCCTGAGTTCCTTCCATGTCTTTCCAACACTGAACACTATCCCAACTATGAGAGAAGATAGAAAAAGGAGAAACATTGTGAGGAGGAGGTTAAGGGAATTGGCCAAGTTTTGCAGAAAAGTACAACAAATTCCTGTCTTCCATTTCTTTCATCCCCAGTATCAGTGCTATACTTGAACACAGCCATACCTACCATGTCCTTTATTAAGTTTTTCAATTACTGGGTTATCACTTCTTCCAGCAAAGTCTTCTCCCAGATCTACCAGGGCTTCCTTCACTGCTTCATATCCGTACAGTACCACAGTAGGCTTCATACCAAAATACACAGTGAACACAGGGCCATAGACTTTTGAGAGCTGGGAAAGGCAAATGCTAAGTCAGTATTTGATAAAATATTGTGCTTTCTCCAAAATGATATTATCGTGTCATTTTAATTTTTTTAATTATCACAGTCTAAAATAGCACTACAGTTTTAGGACACACACACAGATAAAACCAATTGGTTCTCTACACACAAACTCATTCTTTTATTTCACTGTTTACCGTGACAGTAAAATACAAGGTAAAGTTTTAAAATAACTGGAAGTAATTTGAATCACAAAGTTGACAGTGAGTCTATTTTAATAGGGTGCCAGTGGTAGTATATCTTACCTTTAAAATTTGGTGTAAATTACTTACATTTCAAATCATTAAAAGGAGCATAAAATATACTCACATTGCTCAGGGATTTGCTGATATTCTTAACATCTACTTGTAGAATGTTTCCAATAATTGGGAGAGGAGTAGGGCCAGGTGGAAGCTTTCCTTTACTGGCATTCTGTTTCTGCCGTGAAAGAAGAAGCCAACAGGAGAGAAAAAACACCAGCAACAGAACTGGAAACATTCTCTTCTTACTCAGAGAAGCTAACCTGAAATCAAAAGATCTTTAAGAACACTTTCTGCTAATTCAACTTGTGCCTTTCTGAAAAGGCAACCGGTTACAGACTCTGTGAGTGAACTTTGACCCACTGATAAAGATAATTAAATGGCCTTTAGTCCTCTCTTACCTTTAATCCAACGACCATCTGTAGGTACTGGTTTAATTTAATACTACTTTGGGATTACCAGGTATTGATAATAATAAAAAAAGTTTTAAGGCCTGGCACTTTTATTTATTTAATTTTTGGTTTGGGGGCCACACCTGCCAAAGGCAAGCCAGGGGCAAACAGGTCAGAGGCATCACGAAGATTTACAAAAAAGACAAAAATAAGAGAGCAAAAGCCTACAATCAAGGGGCTAACAGCCTCATGGACTGAGAGCCCCGACTGTCCTTCACAAACAGTATTTATTGCTTATTGCTAAGAACCAATAATCATTAAATGGAGAAGAACAACATTCTTTGGTCAGGCACCAAACAATCTTTTTTCTTTTTTTCATTGCACCTAACAATCTTGATCTAGGTTAGACTATTACATATCAGAAGGTGTTAGTTTACTGGGATAAACATAAGTGTAAAGAGCTTTCTTAAGGAGAAGTTCTTTCAGAAGGTGAACAGAGATAGAGCAGACAGGACACCTGCTCGAGTCAGTATTACAGGGCAGCATTCCATAAATGGACTCCAGGGTTCTGGCTGGTTCCCAATATCTCCCCCCTTTTTCTGCTGCTCCATGACCTAGTAGTCCTGGCTGGATAGGGTGACTGAAACTGTGTATAACATCAAGTCATGCTTTCAGGTAGATCTCAGTGGGAAAGAACTCATAATTTATGAGAAAATGCGTCAAAGATTTCAAGTTGCAAATGTTGTATATGATAGGAAATACTTCCTGATTAAGCAAACGTTTTCTAATTAATTTCCATGACTGCTGTGTTTCATTATAAATTTTGGGAGTAACACAGATCTGAGTAACATTCCAATTCCATATTAAGCCAGCTTTAGTTTGTAAATTTTGTATTTCATCCCCTAAAAAGTTACACACACACTGCTTGTTGCAAGTCTGCTATTTAGGTAACAGTTTTTGTATTAATTTGTTGTTGACTATGTCATAATAAACTAGTATAATGTCAGTTCTCAACAAAATGGACAGTTTGGATGCCCTGATGAAAGGCAGCTCCAGCAGCAGCTGCAGTGGCCATTAATGCTATTAATCCCGTGATTCCAAAGATATGCATGTGATATAATCCTTCATGATCTTTTCAGTATCTTCTCTAACAAACTTTCTACAATGCACATTGAAGGAGAGTCCTCCATGCCCTAGGAAGCTTAACAGGCATCCATAGTTTTAAGTAAGCTTAACAGGCATCCACGGCTTTAAATAAATAAAGGCAAGGAAATGCCTGAATTTAGGCAAGTGAATAATCTGCAAAAGACACAGACTAGGGTTTGTTTTTCTTTATCAAATCTTAATTTTCCTATTAATAGGATGGGTATTGTCAGAAAAGTTTGTATAAAATGAGTGTCATTTTCTGTGACACTAAAGCCAGACAGAGTTTCTTTACCAATATTTTGATACTTCCCTTTCCATCCTTTCATGAGTTTTAAAGTTGCAACAAGCCTCCACAGTTCCAGATATTGAGACCTGCCTGGAATACTGGGCATTGGAGGAGAAAGTTCTTCCATATTCCATAGACAATCATGTTGGAATAAGCTATCATAGTTTTAGTTTCTCTAACAATTTTACTGTTCAACTTAATTAATTTTTGTTTGCACTGGCTAAACCAAAAGGTCTCCAATCAATTATCTTGCCATGGTGGGTAGTTAGTAGGACTCTACCTACTCTGTTTATTCATTGTTCCATAGTATCAAAAATTTAGAACCAGAAGTCAGATGGTTTGACTTTACAAGTTAACATATATGGCCTGGAGATATTTGGAAGTCATATATCTTTTTGAGTCACAGGTCCAAGCCATTAAAGAGAAAAGCTTAATAACATCTGTTAGGCTAAAACTCCTTCTGTAGTATTTGTAAGTCTGAATCCAAAACTTATTTTCTAGCTTGAGACATGATCTTCATAGCCTTAACAGATTGGGAAAGTGGAAAAATCCAGGGTACGGTTTCTGAGAATTTTCCCTTTTCCCATTGTTTTTTCTGATGTCAGGACCTGGCATCCATATAATTCCATTAGTGAATTCCAGAGGTGGTATATCTCCCATTCCACTACCTGCTTAGTTGGGGGCGAGTGAAGAAAGCCCTGTATGGTGCTCACCAGCATATATTACCAGTATGCTCATAATATCAATGATAGCTAGAAACATAGTAGTTGGTGTCTTACCAGTATTGGTCTGGATCAATACTCTTTCTTCCTGCCTCGAATCTCCATGACTATTGAAGCTCAAGGCATCTTTAAAGATGAAAGACCACTGACCAAGCAAGTGGAAACAAAGATAAACAAATGGGACTACATGAAACTAAGAAACATCTGGACCTCAAAACAAATAGGGACCAAGATATAGAGACAGCTCATGGAATAGAAAAAGCTGTTTACCCAATATGCTTCAGATAAGGGATTAATATTCAAGATATATAAAACACTGGTAGAACTTTACAAGAAAAAAATCCAACCCCATCAAAAAATAGAGAGAAGATATGAACAGAAATTTCCTCAAAAAAGATATATAAATGACCAAAAGGCACAGGAAAATAAAATGCTCTGCATCATGAATCATCAGGGAGATGCAAATTAAAATGACCATGAGATATCGGCTCACACCACAGAGACTGGCACACATCAGAAAGAACAAGAACAACCAGTGCTGCTATGGAGGTAGAGATAAAGGGACTCTTATTTCTTGTTGGTGGGAATACCCACTGGTTCAGTCTTCTTGGAAAATAATATGGGCATTCCTCAAAAAATTGAAATCTAGCTTCCATATGACCCAGCAATACCACTTCTGGAATGTACCCTGGGGGCGCAAAGACACACAACAGAAATGCTGCCTGCACTTCTATGTTCATTGCAGCCCTATTCATAATAGCCAGAATCTAGAAGCAACCCAAGTGCCCCAAAACAGACAACTGGATAGAGAAACTATGGTATATCTACACAATGGAAACTATGCAGCTGTGAGGAAAAATAAAGTAATGACATTTGCTTATAAATGAATGGAGAGTATCATACTGAGTAAAATGAGTAAGAAGAAGATGGGTAGACAGTATGACTGCACTTGTTTGTGGGATATAAAATAAAACATAGTATGATACTAATACCCCAGGACAGTAGAAACAAGGACCAGGAGGATTTTTCACAGTTAGAAGTCTAGTGTTTCCAACCTAGTTGTTCTCCCCAAGTGCTGGGGGAGAAGGCAGTTGAGATACAGAAGGGACCACTATGACAGTGATAGTTGGAAATGATCACTCTGGACAAGAACTGCATGCTAAAAGTAGGTAAAAGGACAATCATTATAACCTTTCTGTATCTGTATTGCAAACCATAATGCCCGAGAGAGGGAGAGAGAGAGAGAGAGAGAGAGAGAGAGAGAGAGAGAGAGAGAGAGAGAGAGAGAGAGAGATTGCCTGCCATAGAGACATAGAGACAGACTTGGAGGTGGCAGGAGGGGTAATGGGGACATTGGTGGTGGGAAACGTACACTGGTGGAGGGATGGGTGTTGGAACATTGTATGACTGAAACCTGATCATAAACAGGTTTGTAACTGTATCTCACAGTGATTCAATTTTAAAAAAAAGAAGACAACTACTTCCTGCCTCCTGGGTAAACTTCTTTATTAGTCCCCAGCTGTGCAGTGATGCTTGATGGATCACTGACTTGGGTCTTTTGAAGGACAGGTTGGTTATCATTTCTTGTCAAAAAACATGCATATCCTCTCCACCAAACATTTGCATCTTTCTATTTATTCTGTTTCCCCTTTTCTTCATCCCTAAAACAGATATGCTCATTTATCTGGATTTTATCACTGGCTAGTTGCAAATGTTTCTCAGCTGCACAATTTTTCTTTTCCCTGTAGAGCAAAAAACCAAAAAAAAATAGGGTTGTTTTCACAAATGAGATTTTATGCATAATAAATACTTTAACTTGGTGATTTTGTAAATGCCTTTAGATTTAATCAATTTCTTCATGGTCTCCTAAAGGTCAATACTTTCTGTATCTTGCACTGTTCTGACTACATACTGGCTATCAGAAACAATATTTCTCCTGTCACATCTTTTAATAATTGAATCACTGCCACCATTTTCACTTTCTGGGCTGAGGAATAAGGTGTTTGCCTAATCTTCATAGTGGATCCCTAATAGGCCCCTTTAAAATCCAATTAGCTTTAAGAATTGAAACAAGTTAGAAAAAGTATAATCATTATCTATGGGCGCTAATGAAGTCAGAAAGTTCTAATTACCATTCCAAACTCACTTAGAGTGTTTCCTTCACGTATAGATTAGTAAGGTAAAAGACTATTTTATTTGTGTATTGATTAATTAATTGGTGTAAATGGGAGCGTCCTAAAGTATCCTTCCTATTTTGTGTAAGCAAATTTCCAGTCTTTTTTGTTGTTGTTGTTGTACATGAGGTAAAAATATCCAGTCCTTAATTTCTTGTTGATTAAAAAACACCTCTAGAGGAATTTTGAAGGAAAACTAACAAGCTTATTTTGCATCTAAAGAGATATGCTCTAATTTGGTTTCATAAATTCTATCTTGTCCCCATTTTAATTATAATTTATTAAGTGGAGATTCCTAAAATAGGCTAGAACCAGTTTATATCTCCATTTCTGAAAGTTGTTTAGGGTGTTTAGTGTTTAAGTTATCAGTTCTTTTTTTTGTTTTTTATTGAATCACTGTAAGAACAGTCACAAAGCCTTTCAGTTTAAGTCTCAGTCCATCATACAATGATCAAACACCCGTCCCTTCACCAGTGCACATTTTTCACCACCAAGAATCCCAGTGTACCCCCCTCCCACCCGCCCTTCCCCCGCCTGTGCGGCAGATTTCTACTTTACTTTCTCTCTCTACATTGATCAGATTCAATATCACGGTTCGAAAGAATAGTCCTGGTACCCGCATACTGGAGCCATGCTTATAGAAGCTCATGGTCACCGGGACTCCATCTGGAGAAGGCAGGGAGAGGGCACCTACCCGATCTGGGACCTCCCAGTGATATCAGCTCAGTATGGGGCCCGGAGAATCCTCCGGGAGTTGTGGAGCCTGCTTGCCAGTTTCCTTCTCAGCTGTGTGCTGTAATATGGAGAAGGGGGGCGGGTTGTGGGCGTGACTTCCGGGATCAAAAGCTGCCTGGGAACTGGGGCTGAACTGCCCGGCTCCAGCGTCCCCGTGCAGTTTGCAAGAATTGTCCTGATGCCCGCATTGGAGTTGTGGGGTCCAACGGGCAGTTTTCTTCGCTAAGTTATCAAGTATAAGCTGTACCTTTTTGTGGCACAATGATACTCCTATTTATTAAATGACCAAGATATAGAATTGGATATTCCTTCTGAAACCCTGTCTGAGCCAAAAGATATTTTTTAGTATTGGAATACCAGTTTGTAGGTGATCATCAGATTGGGTGATTATTAAGATATCATTCATACATTCGACCCCCAAGCTGAGCGGGTCTTCTCCCCCACCCAGATAAGTTTATCTATCACTTCTTGAACCCAGGACTTGGATTTCTCCCTGCAAGCCCCCCCCCCCCCCCCCCCCCCCCCCGGGCATCCTTTCAGACCTTGGGAGATAAAGCAGCTCTGAGTATCTGCGTCTTCATTTTTCTTTGCCAAGCTGAGCTGGTCTTCTCCTCCAACCAGGTCATTTTATCCACCACTTTTTGAAACCGGGATTTGGATTTCTCCCTGCAAGCCCCCCCAGGCGTCCTCTCGGACATGGGGGACAAAGCAGCTCTGAGCCTCTGTGTCTTCCTTCTCATCCCCCAAGCTGAGCTCGTCTACTCCCCTACCCAACTGAGCTGGACTTCTCCCCCACCCAGGTGAGTTTATCAGCTGCTTCTCGAACCTGGGACTTGGATTTCTCCCTGCAAGCCCCCCAGGTGTCCTCTCTGACTGTGGGAGAAAAAGCAGCCCTGAGCCTCTTCCTTTTCGTCCCTCAAGCTGAGCTGGTCTACTTCCCACCTAGCTGAGATGGTCTTCTCCCCCACCCAGGTCATTTTATCCACTGCTTCTCAAACCCAGGACTTGGATTTTTCCCTACAAGCCCCCTAGGCCTCCTCCCGGACTTTAGGAGACAATGCAACCCTGAGCCTCTTCCTCTGCCTATTCATTACCAAGCTGAGCTGGTCTACTTCCCAACCCAGCTGAGCTGGTCTTCTCCTACACCCAGGTCAGTTTATCTGCCGCTTCTCGAACCCAGGACTGGATTTCTCCCTGCATGTCCCCCTGGCATCCTCTTAGACCTTCGGAGACAAAGCATCCTTGAGCCTCTGCCTCTTCCTTTTCGTCTCCCAAGCTGAGCTGGTATTCTCCCCCACCCAGGTAAGTATAGTTGCCCCTTCTCAAACCCGGGACTTGGATTTCTCCCTGCAAGCCCTCCTCCCTGCAAGGCGTCCTCTCGGACCATGGGAAAAAAGCAGCCTGCATCTCAGCCCCTTGATTTTTGTTACCAAGCTGAGCTGGTCTAATTCCCCACCCAGCTTAGCTGGTCTTCTCCCCCACCCAGGTCAGTTTATCCGCTGCTTTTCAAACCCGGGACTTGGATTTCTCCCTGCACCCCCCCCCCCCCCCCCAGGTGTCATCTTGGACCTGGGGAGACAAAGCAGTCCTGAGCCTCTGCCTCTTCCTTTTCGGCTCCCAAGCTCAGCTGGTCTTCTTTCGCACCCAGGTCAGTTTAGCCGCTGCTTCTCGAACCCGGGACTTGGATTCCTCCCTCCAAGCCCCCCAGATGTCCTCTCGGATCTTGGGAGAGAACGCAGTCGTGAGCCTCTGCCTCTTCCTTTTCGTTCCCCAGGCTGAGCTGGTCTTCTCCCCCACATAGGTCTGTTTATCCACTGCTTCCAGAACCCGGGACTTGGATTTCTCCCTGCAAGGCCCCCAGGAGTCCTCTCGGACATTGGGAGACAAAGAACACCTGAGCCTCTGCCTTTTCCTTTTCGTCCCCTAGCTGAGCTGGTCTACTCCCCCACCCAGCTGAGCTGGTCTTCTCCCCCACCCAAGTTAGTTTATCAGTCACTTCTCGAACCCGGGACTTGGATTTGTCCCTGCAAGTCCTCCTGGCGTCATCTTGGACCTTGGGAGACAAAGAAGCCTTGAGTCTCTGCCTCTTCCTTTTCGTCCCCTAAGCTGAGCTGGTCTTCTCCCTCACCCACGTCAGTTTAGCCACCGCTTCTCAAACCCAGGACTTTGATTCCTCCCTGCAAGCCCCTCAGGAGTTGGACCTTGGGAGAGAACGCAGCCCTGAGCCTCTGCCTCTTCCTTTTCATCCCCCAAGCTTAGCTAGTCTTCTCTCCCTCTCAAGTCAGTTTGTCCAACGCTTTTCGAACTCAGGACTTGAATTTCTCCTTGCAAGCCCCCCAGGCATCCTCTCGGACATTGGGAGACAAAGCAACCCTAGACTCTGCCTCTTCCTTTTCGTCCCCTAAACTGAGCTGGTCTTCTCCCCCACCCAGGGGAGTTTATCCGCCGCTTCTTGAACCCGTGACTTGGATTTCTCCCTGGAAGCACTCCAGGCATCCGCTCGGACCTTGGGAGACAAAGTAGTCCTGAACCTTTCCCTCTTCCTTTTCGTCCCCTAGCTGAGCTGGTCTACTCCCCCACCCAGTTGAGCTTGTCTTCTCCCTCACCCAGGTGAGTTTATCCGCTGCTTCTTGAACCCGGGACTTGAAGAAATGAGAGCAGAAATTGGAAAGCTATGCACAGCAAAGTCACAAATTAAAGATTCCATAGATGAGATGAAAAACTCAGTCTGTGCCCTCAAAAATAGAATGACCACAGCTGAGAAAAGAATCAGTGAGCTGGAAGATCAGCTGCACCAAGCCAACAGGCAACAACAAATAGTGGCAAGGGACCTCAAAGTAGCTCTACAGAGAATCAGAGTCCTAGGAGACGATTCCAAGATAAACCACATTAGAATCATTGGACTATCAAAAGCTCAGGGAAACAATCCCAATGAAAAACAAATCATAGCTGAAAAATTCCCAGAGCTCAACAATGCAGCCATTCAGATTCAAGGAGCCTGAAGGGTATCAGATAAAAGAGGTCACGGTTACGGTCACGGTCCTCCCGTTGTTCACCGATTTGCTCAAGCGGGCCCAGTAACGTCTCCATCATGAGACTTGTTATTACTGTGTTTGGCATATTGAATATGAGATCAAATACGTCACAGGTAGCTTGCCAGGCTCTGCTGTGCGGGCGAGATACTCTCGGTAGCTTGCTGGGCTCTCCGAGAGGGGCGGAGGAATCGAACTCGGGTCGGCTATGTTGGCCACTTGTAAGACAAACGCCCTACCGCTGTGCTATCGCTCCAGGCCCCTAACAAAAGCACTCCAAGACATATCATAGTTAGAATGATCGATGCTGCGGATAGAGACACAATACTGCAATCAGCAAGGTCAAAGAAGGAAATCACATACAAAGGAACACCCCTTAGATTCATAGCAGATCTATCACAGGAAAACCTCCAAGCTGGAAGGCAGTGGCGAGACGTAATGAAAAACCTTACTGAAATGAATGCTTCACCAAGAATACTCTATCCGGCTAAACTCTCACTCAAACTCGAAGGAACGGTACACTATTTTCTAGATAAACAGCAGCTCAAGAACTTCATAGACTCAAAACCAAACCTAAAACAAGGGCTAAAGGGGCTACTATAAGACAAGACAAACCCTACAACCACAACAGACCCTTACAAAAAGATGACACAAAACCCCATAGCAGTAATCTCTCTCAATGTCAATGGTCTAAACTCACCATTTAAGAGACACCGAGTGGCAAAATGGATACAGAGACAGAAACCAAAATTGTGCTGCCTACAAGAAACTCATCTCAACAGTCAGAGCAAACACAGACTCAAAGTCAAAGGATGGAAAACAACCCTACAAGCAAACAGCTCCTTCAAAAAAGCTGGGGTGATCATACTAGTATTCAACAACATTAATTTCAGGTTGAAAAAGATTAGAAGGTACAGTGAAAGATGTTTTCTCTTCATCAAGGTATACATACACAGGAAGAAATCACACTCTTAAATGTATACGCAACTAATGAGGGAACAGCTAAATATTTAAAACAACTGCTAACAGATTTTAAGGAGGACATTGCAAGAAAAACAATAGTAGTTATAGACATCAACATATCCTTATCACCTCTGGATAAATTAACAAGAACAAAACTCAGCAAGGAATCATTGGCTTTGAAAGAAGAAATAGAAGAGAAGAGAAAGGGCTGATAGACCTATAAAGGTCTTTACACCCCAAAAAGAAAGAATACACATTCTTCTCCAGCACGCATGGAACATTTTCCAAAATAGACCATGTGCTAGGCCACAAAACATACCTCAACAGAATCAGGAAGATAGGAATAGAATCAACCATCTTTTCAGACCATGATGCACTGAGGATAGAAGTGAATCACACACAGACACGGAGAACCAAATCAAACACCTGGAAATTGAACAAATCAATGCTGAACAACGAGTGGGTCAGGAAGGAAGTCAAGAATGAAATCAAAAGATACCTGGAAACAAATAAGAATGAAGAAATGAGCTACCAAAACTTATGCGGATGCAGAAAAGCCATATTAAGGGGAAGTTTATAGCTCTGCAAGCATATCTCAGGACTGAAGAAAGGATGCACATAAACAACTTGACCTCACAGCTCAAGACCTTAGAAAAGTATCAACAGAAAGAGCCTAAATCAGGCAAAAGGAAAGAGATCATAAAACTTAGAGCAGAAATCAATGAAATGGAAACCAAAGATACAATCCGAAAGATCAAGGAAACCAAGAGCTGGTTCTTCGAGAAAATAAACAAGATAGATAAACCACCAGCAACACTCACAAAGAAACAGAGAGAGAGAACCCTAATAAACCGAATCAGAAATGAGAAAGGGGATATCACAACAGAAACTAAAGAAATTAAAAATATCATCAGAGACTACTTCAAAAGTCTGTATGCCACAAAACAAGAGAACCTAGAAGAAATAGATAAATTCCTGGATTCCTATCATCTCCCAAAGCTGAATCAAGAAGATATAGAGTACCTGATACACCTAATAACATAAAGGAAATT